TTTGTTTGGGGTTCTCTGCGCTTCCTGGACCTGTAAGTCTATTTCTTTCACCAGGGAGGGGAAGTTTTCTGTCATTATTTCTTCAAATAGGTTTTCAATATCTTGCCCTCTCTCTTCTTCTGGTACCCCTATAATTTGGATGTTGGGACACTTGAAGTTGTCCCAGAGGCTCCTTACACTATCTTCATATTTTTTGAATCTTTTTTCTTTTTTCTTTTTCGGTTGGGTATTTTTTGTTTCTTTGTATTGCAAATCTTTGACTTGATTCTTGGGATCCTCTTGTCTGCTGCAGGATCTCTGTATATTATTCTTTATTTCAGTCAGTGTATGCTTAATTTCTAGTTGGTCTTTTTTTCATATCCTCCAGGGTCTCACTAAATTTATCGGCGGTTTCCATAAAATTCTTGCAAAACCTTATAACCGTGGTTTTGAACTCTATATCCAGTCGTTTGCTTTCCTCCATTTCTGTCATTTGTGACCTGTTTCTTTGTCTCCGCATTTTTTATGCTTCCCTGTGTTGGTAGAGTGGTTTTGTGTGCTAGGTGTCCTGTTGGGCCCAGTGGCTCAGCCTCCCCAGTTACCTGAGGTGGACACTCTTGGTGTACCCCCTTGTGGGCTTTGTGCACAGTCTTGTTGTAGTTATGCTTGATTGTTGTAGGATCACTGGGAGGAATTGACCTCTAGGCCAATTGGCAGTGAGAATCAGCTGTGTCTGCAGTGGGAGAACTTCTATGCTGAAGACACCCTTCTGGGGCAAGACTTGCTTCAGTGGGGCTTTGGTGCTCACTGAGTCTGCCCCCTGAGTGTGTCCCTTATGGATCTGAGGAGTTGTAATCCGGATGGTCCCCCTCTGACCAGTGGGTACACTGGCTCTTGGAGGTTACCCAGCAGGAGCTATGAAGGGAACTGCAGATTCCCCTTCCTTTTTTGGAGTTTGGAGGTGCCCTGATGAGGCCCAGCTGTGGAGCAATGCAAGCTGCTGTGGGGCCTTGGGCCTTCTCTTGGAAATTCTGGGTCTGTGGCCCAGCTGCAGTTTGTTAGGTAATTTTCAGGTTGCAAAGGGCCAGGGCATTCATATGCAAAAGCCTCTGCTGCAGCCTGGGTGGGGCGGGGTCTCAGGGAATCAAAGGGCGGAGCAAGGAACTATGGCAGATTCTCAGCCCTGCCCTAAGGGGCCGTGTGCGTCTCAGTGTCCTGATAATTTAATTGCTGCAAGCACCTCTGAGGGAAAGCCGCCCTTGAGTTCTGAGTTCTGCCCGCTGCCAGACAGTCCAGTTTCTCCCCGTATGAGTCCTGGGTTCCCAGAGACTTCCTGGAACCGGAGTTCAGAGCAGTCGGGAGCTTGTGACTCCCTCCCGATTCAAAAAGACAGCTGCGTCCTCAGGTACCAGCCCCTTTCCGCGCACTCTCGAGCCTCCGTACCTTTGCACTTTTACTTCCGCAGCTCCTGACCCTCAATGTGCTTTTCTCTTTCCTTCTAGTTGTAGAATTCCCAATCCGCCAGCCTTCCTATAAGTTCTGGATGATGTCCGTTTTGTCTTTTTATTGTGTTTTGAAATTGTTGTAGGAGGCAGCAATTTCGGTGTTTCCCTATGCCACCATCTTAGTTTCTCCCAAATTTAACATCTTAACCATTCATTCCGTTGCCTTAAGTACATCCATATTGTTGTGCAATGGAACTTTTTCATCTTGCCAAACTGAAACTCTGTATCTATTAAACAGCAATTCTCCATTTCACCTTCAGCCAGTGCCTAGCAACCACCATTCTACTTTCTATAAGTTTGACAACTTTAGATGCTTCATATATGCGATATCATACAGTATTTTTGTCTTTGTGACTGGCTTATTTCACTCAACATAATGTTCTCAAGTTTTATCCATGCTGTAGCATGTGATAAGATTTCATTTTTAAGGTTAAATACTATTTAAGGTAATTTTAAAAAAATACTTAGACTGGTTTGGCTGGTGTGGCTCAGTGGTTGAGCACTGACCCATGAACCAAGAGGCCTCCAGTTGGATTCTTGGTCAGGGCACATGCCCAGGTTGCGAACTTGATCCCCAGTAGGGGGCATGCAGGAGGCAGCTGATCAATGTTTCTCTCTCACTTATGTTGCCATCTCTCTATCCCTCTCCTTTCCTCTCTCTCTAAAATCATATTAAAAATAATAAAATATTAATAAAGACATTAAAAAAGTACTTAGGCCCTAGCTGGTTTTGCTCAGTGGATAGAGCATTGCCTGTGAACTGAAAGGTCCCAGGTTCGATTCCAGTCAAGGGCACAAGCCTGGGTTTCGGGCTCAATCCCCAGTGTGGGGCTTGCAGGAGGGAGCTGATCCATGATTCTCTGTCATCATTGATGTTTCTCTCTCTCTCTCCCTCTCCCTTCCTTTCTGAAATCAATAAAAAAAATAAAAGAATAAAAAAGTACTTAGATTGTAGCCAGCAGATTTATTTAATCAACTATAGGCCCAGTGCATGAAATTCTTGTACAGTAGGGTCCCTAGGCTGGGACAGCAATCAGGGCCGATCAGGGCCTTCTGGCTCCTGGCCGGGGCCTTCCTTCGTTCCATGCTTCCCCCTGGTGGTCAGCACATGTCATAGGGAGTGGTTGAACTCCCAAGGGGACAATTTACATATTAGCCTTTTATTACATAGGATGTGAACTACAAGTCAATTTAATATGGTCTACATATTAATATGGTCTACACAGAAAAAACACAGCTACATATATTTAGTAAAGTGCTGTACAATGCTGAGACAGAATTCCAACAATTAAGAATCTTTTAAAACTACAATAAGCTCCTTTGTGATGTTATGTAAGACAGTAGGTTTTAAAAAGTGTCATGTACCATGCTTATATGTCTCTGGATCTAGGGTGGTGAAGGCCTGGGGTGGGTGGTGGGGGGAGCAGGCTAGAAGGGGCTAATGGGGGAAGAAAGGGGACATATGTAATACTTACAACAATAAAGATTTTTAAAAAAGTATCATGTAAAAATGTTCTTACATTTTTTTATCAACAAATTATAAGTTGAGCCACGAGATTCAGATCTTAATACCCACATGCTTTTCATTTTTAACATAGTGAATTTAAATGATGATAGGTGTCAAAATCGCTGATTTCCAATCTTTTAAATGCACACACCAGATTTTAAAAAGATTTTCATTTAGTCTTCATTTCACTTTCCTAGAAGTAAAAGTATAATGCCTTACCATGTCATTCACACTTTGTAAAATGAAAATACTGCATTTGCTATTGTTTTCCTTATTTTCACACTATTAAAAAAATATCACCAGTCTATTTTTTTCACTCAGAACAATGTTTATTTCTTTTTTAAAAATTCTTTATTGTTAAAAGTATTACATATAATATTACATATAGTATTACATATCTCCTTTTGCCCTTTGACCTCTCCCTGGCCACCCCCTCACCCCCAGTGTCTGTGTTAATGGGTTATGCTTGTATGCATTCCTACAAGCCTTTTGGTTAATCTCTTAACACCCCCCACCCCACCCCCGTCTTCTCTCTGAAGTTTGACGGTCTGTTCGATGCTTCACTGTCTTTGGATCTATTTTTGTTCATCAGTTTATGTTGTTCATTATATTCCACAAAAGTAATATTTCTCTTTCTCCGACTGGCTTATTTTGCTTAGCATAATGTTTTCCAGTTCCATCCATGCTGTTGCAAATGGTAAGAATTCCTTCTTTTTTACCGCACCATAGTATTCCATTGTGTCGATGTACTACAGTTTTCTAATCCATTCATCTGCTGATGGGCACTTATGCTGTTTCCAAATCTTAGCAATTGTATTACCAGTCTATTATTAACTAGGACTATCCACTCTAGGAGAACCAAACTCACAGTAACTCATGATAAGGACAGGGAAAGCAATCTAAATATCAGGCTACCTCATTTGCTTTGCTCTCAAATGCAGTTTCCACAGGCCATCAGAAGAATGAGCAGTGGCCACTGCTTTCAGGCAGGTGATTTGTTATGTACACTAATTTTGGTCAAAGCTAGTAAGAGAGACGTTCTATCTGTCTCTTCCTGAGTAATTCCTAAGTGTGTAAACTTCATTTAACTTGCATCATTCCCTTCACGACCCTACATTGTGTGACAAAAGCTCTCCCAAGTGCCTCTCCACATGTCTCCTATGATGAACCTTGCTAGACCAGATGTGGCTCTGCTTCCAATATCTGTTTACCTCATTTGGAAACGGATTTTTCTCATCACAGTGTCATTTGAATCAGGTGGAATGAGTCATTTTTTAATTTCTATTTTTGTTCATCAGTTTATGTTGTTCATTATATTCCACAAATGAGTGAGAGCATGTGATATTTCTCTTCCTCTGACCGGCTTATTGCGTCTCTAGCAGAGTTTCTATTATACATAGGATAAAGTCCGAGGTGCTTCTCTGTGAGTGCGGGGGTGTCCAGTAGGGGTTGGGCGGTGAGCGTGGCAGGACCCAGGCCCTGCTTTGAACTAAGGCTTAGTTTTTCATTCACAGTTTTTGCTAGTCCCTTCCATGTCGCCCTAATTCATTTATTGCGAAAATGCATCAGAAGCCCTAACCCCTTTAACTCATTTCCTACAGCTTTTCTGAGAAACCAGGACCTACAGCAATTGACATAGAGCTCAGGGTGGGACGAGCGAGGCGGGCTCCACGCTATGCGCATGCTCCGTGGGCCTCACAGGGGAGAGTCTGCAGCCGCTCCCCGGAACTTCCGGGGCGGGGCCAGCGCCGGAAGCACAGGCTGGAGACCAGTCCTTAGATCTCCTAGGGGGCGGCAGCCGCCGCTCTCAGTGGGTGAAGCGGTGATTGTGCGAGATGCCTTAAGTCCATCTTTCCGGTTACCACAGGGCCAGAGCTCCCCGGGGTCCCTCGGGCACCCGAGCAGGTGGGGAGACGGCCCATGCGAGCTCCCTCTTCCCAGAGGCTGCCAGCTCCTCGGGCTGTCGAGGCCTTCCTTGTGCTGCACCAACGTGTCTTTACCCCTTTCAGCCGCCCCCTCCCAGCCCGCCCGCCGCTATGTATGAGCGGGCTCCCCGCGTGCTCAGATTCGCGGACGGCGGCAGCACCGCGGACCATGTGGGGCCCGGGGCCTACCAGGTGCCTTTCCCGAAGCAGCAGGCAGCAGGTGAGATGCGGGCAAGGCAGGCCTCCGCAGGGCGCCTCCCTTCCCTCCCGCCCCGTGGGGTGCCTGCAGGTGAATGGGATAGCGGCCCTTCCCAGGTGTCACCCACAGGAAGCAGCAGGAAGATGCCGCCCGTGTTTACGGGCACCAGCTGGTCACCGGGCCCGGGCACAGGGCCATGGCCGCCCACATCGTTCTTGCAGGGGTGCAGCTGGAAGCCAGGTTTCGGTTTCCCGCCCTGTGGGCCGTCACAGGCTCCAGATGTCCTTCTTACCGCCCGCGGGCCTTTCCCACGGCGACCCTGTTGGCGTCACACACCTGCCCTACCCTTAGCGAGAGACACATCGATTTACCAAAATGTAATTTTTATGTTTCTGCTTTGCAATGTCATTTGAAGATGGTTCCATGTGTTTTTTCAGTTCGATGCCTCTTGTATGACCAAACCCCTGTTCTCTCTGAGCAGTCCCTTCATGCTCCCATTCTGTGCAAAGCAAAGCTTTACATCTTGAGAGATGAAGTGGGAATGGATCATTTAAACAGTTATTCACTCTCCTCATTTGTTTGCAGCTAGTGACTTTAGGAGGGATTTTTATGAAGTTAAAATAGTTCAATTTGCTTTCTGCTTTTCCTAATCTGCTGATTTTGTGGAGTTTAATACCATTCAAATTAAAAGTTTTTTTCCTTGTTAATCTGCATTTTCCTTATTCCTACACTATGTCTGTATTTTTATTATTTTGTGTCTGTATTTCTAAAAAATATTTTATTGATTTTTTTTTATAGAGAGGAAGGGAGAGGGATAGAGTTAGAAACATCAATGAGAGAGAAACCTCGATCAGCTGCCTCCTGCACCCCCTACTGGGGATGTGCCCGCAACCAAGGTACATGCCCTTGACCAGAATCGAACCGGGACCCTTCAGTCTGCAGGCTGACACTATCCACTGAGCCAAACCGGTTAGGGCTATGTCTGTATTTTTAGACAAATGCCAGGATCCATTACTCTGTTGATATGACTGATCAGATTAGTATTTTAGGTTAATTTGGGTTTCTCTGGGTGGAGGACATATTTGTCAATTGTCCTTGCTTTAATATTGAGTTTTACTAGTTGTCAGCATCTGATTTCAATATCCTTGGAGCTTACCATGTCTGTCTTTAATGCAGTTGAGTTGTTAGAAACAATAACTCCCTAACAGTTTACTAGCTACCAGTGATTACACGTATGATTTTATTTTGGCATAACTGACCACTCTGTTTTTATTTTGAATGTTTTAAAATGGATTTTTAGAGAGGGAGGAAGGGAGAGGGAGATAGAAACATCAATCGCTGCCTCTGGCACACCCCTTACTAAGGAGTGACCCTACAACTCAGGTAGGTGTCCTGACAGGGAGTCAAAACTGGTGACCTCTTGATTCATGGGTTGACACTCAACCACTGAGCCACACCAGTTAGGAATAGTGCCTAATACATGCTGAGTCAGGGAATCATTTTCTATCTCTAACCAACCCTTCATAGTCTTCTTTAAAAGTTTACATTTTTCTAAACATCTTTTAAATGTTTATATACTGTACTTTCTATTCTTTGCTTGTTGCTTTTCTCATGTGTACTTTCTCATTCAAACCCATAGCTTCAACCACTGTCCACATTCTGATTCTTCCCAAAAGAAAGTCTTTAGAGATACAGGTGATTTGTATCTCTAAGATGAGCTTTCTCCCTATCTTAATTTCTCCGCATTGCCAATTTCTGTTTTGGACATCTCCACCTGGGTGGTTTCTGGCCTCTGAAATTCCAAATGTCTGAACTCATCATTTTCCCCACCTTTACTGGCTCCTTTGAAAAAAAATTCCCTACCAGTAATTTATAAAATTTAAGCTTTAGAATTATCCAGGCTCCTTCTTCTTCTCTGACTGACCATTCCATTGATCTTAAAGACCTATTGATTCTATCTTCTTATTATCTGTCAAATTAGTCCTCTTTCTTCATTTAACTACCCTTGTCTTAGTTCAGGTATCATTATTATTATTTTTTTTCTGAAATAAACCCATAAGACATTGCTGGTTTCTCTCTATTTTAGTCTCCAATCCAACTTCTGTCTTATGGCTCACATGATCATTAGAGTTATGTTATTTGTTTTTAAAACTAAGATTGAAATCTGAATTCCTCAATAAGAGTCTTCATGATATGATCCCTGACCTGCTCTCCTGCTTTACTGAATTTTCCAGGCACACCTCCACCAAGACTTAACCTACATATCAGCAGTTCCAACTTTGCATTTTCTAGAAGTTCATGCTTAATCACCTCCATGCCTTTGTACCTCCAGATACCTTTGCCTGGTATGCTCTCTCTTTCTTCCTCATCTGGCTAATTCCTATTTATTCTTTGAGACTCAGGTAAAGCGAGGTTATTCTCTTACTTTACTCTTTCTTAATTCTTTCTTCTTTGACTTCTTATTGACGTTTGATAGCACTTTGATACTATCTTGCAATTATCTGTTAATCATCTGGCTGCTGCACAAAAATGTCACTTTCTTGAGGGCAATAATTAGGATTTTTACTCTGTTATTCTCAGGTTTTAGCTCAAGATAAGTGCTTAATTAAAAAACCCTACAGTAATTCTTGAAATAAAATAAAAAAAATTAGTAAGTGGCACATAGCAGTATAAAAACTCATATAATATAATCTTTGTGAACTCTTGTAGAGAGCAGTAAAAGACCTGTGTCCTGGGTGCTGGAGGAAAACCGGTGCCGACAGCCAGGGGAAGGAAGGCCTATTGTGCGAATCTTCGTGCAACGGACCTCTAGTCTATAATAATAAAAGGGTAATATGCTAATTACACTAGACATCTTTCAGGACAACATTCCAGACATCCTCCCAGACGAAGACGGGGCCAGAGGGAGGCCCAGGTCCCGGGTGCCTGTGGGCAGCCAGAGGGAAGCCAGCCCGGGTCCCCAGTGCCTGTGGGTGGTTGGAGGGAAACCAGCCTAGGTCACGGATGCCTGCAGGTAGCCAGAGGGAAGACAGCCCAGGTCCCAGGGGCCTGCAGGCAGCTGGAGGGAAGCAAACCCAGGTCCCGGGTGCTATAGGGAAGCCAGTGCTAGCAACTGGGGGAAGGAAGGCCTACTCTTGCACAAATTTTATGCATTGGGCCACTAGTCCTATCTAATAAAAGAGAAACATGGTAATTAGCGTACAACCGCTACCCTTCCCATTGGCTAATCAGGGCGATATGCAAATTAACTGCCAGGCAAGATGGCGGCCGGCAGCCAGGCAGCTTGAAACTAACATGAGGCTTGCTTGCTTCAGTGATGGAGGACTCCAATGTTCCCCGCCTGCCGCTGCAGGCCTCTGAGCTGCAACTCTAAGCAACTATGTTACAAATATAGAAGCTAAACAAAACCCCAGAAACCTGCTTTAGTCGCCGGGCTTCAGCCAGCAGGATCGCAACATTGTTTCAAATACAGAAGGTAAACAAAGGCCAGAAACCTGCTTTCAGCAGCAGAGGCCTAAGACCTGGAGCCAAGCCTCAGAGCTAAAGCTGGCCCAGAATATAAAAAAAGAAAAAAAGGAGTGGTTGGGAGCTTCAGTCACCCGCCAGCCTGAAAACAGCCCTCAGCCCCTCACCCAGACTGGCCAGGCACCCCAGTGGGGACCCCCACCCTGATCCAGGACACCCTTCAGGGCAAACCAGCCGGCCCCCACATGTGCACCAGGCCTCTATATAGTAAAAGGGTAATATGCCTCCTGGCACCGGGATCAGGGTGACAGGGGGCAGCGCCCAAACCCCCTGATCGCCCTGCGGCTCTGTGTGTGACAGGGGGCGGGGCCACAACCTCCCTATCTGCCCTGCTCTGTTCCTGACAGGGGAAGGCGCCCCAACCCCCTGATCGGCCCTGCTCTGTGGGTGATTGAGGGCGACACCCCAGCCGCCCCCCACAGGCCCTGCTCTGTGTGTGACGGGGTAGAGCCATAACCTCCCCAATCAGCCCTACCCTGAGTGTGACTGAGGGTGGCATCGCAACCTCCCAATCTGCCCTGCTCTGTGCATGACAGGGGCGGTGCCCCAACTCCCCAATCGGCCCTGCTCTGAGCCCGACCAGGGGCTGCACCTAGGGATTGGGCCTGCCCTCTGCCACCTGGGAGCAGGCCTAAGCCAGCAGGTCATTGTCTCCCGAGGGGTCCCAGACTGTGAGAGGGCACAGGCCGGGCTGAGTGACCCCCCCACTCCCCCCCGAGTGCACAAATTTTTGTGCATCGGGCCTCTAGTCTTATATAATAAAAGACTAATATGCAAATCGACCAAACTGTGGAACGACTGGTCGCTATGATGTGCACTGACCACCAGGGGCAGAAGCTCAATGCAGGACCTGTCCCCTGGTGGTCAGTGCACTCCCACAGGGGGAGTGCCGCTCAGCCAGAACCCGGGCTAATGGCTGGCGAGCACTGCGGCAGTGGCGAGAGACTTTCCTGCGTTGGCGGCAGCGCTACGGATGTCTAACTGATGGCTTAGGTCTGCTCCCCCACAGAGAGCAGGCCTAAGCCATCAGTCAGACATCCCCCAAGGACTCCGGACTGTGAGAGGGCACAGGCCAGGCTGAGGGATCTCCCCACCGAGTGCACGAATTTTGTGCACCGGGCCTCTAGTATATATATAAAAGGCTATCTGTCTGACCTGTCACTATGACACGCACTGACCACCAGGGGGCAGACCCTCAATGTGGGAGCTGCCTCCTGGTGGTCAGTGCACTCAGGAAGCTCTGCTCAGCCAGAAGCTGGGCTCAGAGTGGTGAGTGCAGTGGCAGTGGCAGGAGCCTCTCTTGCCTCCGCTGCAAGAGGGTGGTAAGAAGCAAGGGGTTCCAGACTGCGAGAGGGCACAGGCTGGGCTGAGGGACCACCCAGTGCATGAAATTTCATGCACTGGGCCTCTAGTTCAAAAATAAGTGGCACCCCGGACCTGGTGCCAACAAACCAACACTCGGCTTCGCCCAAGTGGGGTACAGGCCTCGTCACCAT